AGTGGGGTGTAAGAAAATAGCAATAAAAACACCAAAATTATTTTCAGATACAAATTTTTCAAAGCATGGAGGGGTTCCAAAAATGATTGGATGGTGGAGTAATCTCACAATGATTGAGCACAGGGAATCAGGAGGGAGGCAGAGACCAACTTTTTTTTGGCTGATTCTTCAAGATGAGAAGGTGAATATGAGGTAGAAATCCATGTTGGATTAGAAAGACCACATGAAGAGACCAGGAAACCCACACTGTTTGTTTGAGTTTCCCAGACTTTGATTGGAGAGGTTTCATACACTGTTGACTCTTTCTTTTTTTTTGTTGATGTTGTGTTTGTTCATGTTCATGGGAGGGTGTGACCGTGTTGGATCCATCCCTAAAAGCATTATAGAAAAAAAAGCCAGTGGGATGTGATTATGATGGATTCGTTATAACCAGCAATATAATCATTTAGGAAATGCCATTGCCAACCCTGGTCTGGCGGTCTGACTGTTGCCGTTGCCAAACCCTTGTCTGGTGGTCTGATTGTAAGTTGCCATTGAGCAGGGTTAATGTCACAATTATGACATTTGCCATTGGGGTGAGCCCATGACAGTGTATGGCTGGAGTTGGAAATTCCTCCCACTCAATTTTGTCAAAGCCTTTGTTTTAAGGCTTGAAAGTCCCTAATTCTGGATACATAAGCCCATAATAGAGAAAAGGGGAACTGTGGTGATACATGATTTTCCTTCAATGAGATGGATGGTTGTGGTGCTGCACAGAAGGATTAATGTATGATGTCATATGTAGGATAGCCGTTGATTGGGCACCCTTCATGATGTGCCCCATATTTATTTGATGCAGAATCTGATCATGGGTTTTAATATTGTAGCACACAATCATCTAGTGCCGGACGTGATAAGTCGATAGCACATGCATCGGATAGGAGGAAATACATGAGACTTGTCTGTTTCCCTTGGGGAACTCTTCTGCAGCCGCGGAGGCCACCAAGAAGCTTGTAATTGCAGTCCAGCTACATCCGACACACTATAGCCCAACTAAACTTTTCAACTGCAAACCTGGCGAGGTGCATCCCCGCTGGAACCCATACAGACACTCGCTGACAGCACAGCTTATTTGGCCATGCAGTGGTGGACCGGCTCACCCGTCGCCTATAAAATATACAAATTCAAGGA